CCTACTGCCCTTGTGGCGGCCCTACCTGGAGGTTTTACCGACCCACTTTACAGACGTGGCTTTTATTTCGATCCACCAACCTGATCTGTACGCGCGCGTCTTCTCCACGCTGCCATCCGACATGCGGTTTGCTTTCAGAGCACAGGCTTCCCGTGTCCACACTACATTTGAACGCCTCTTTGGCAGAAGCGGTGGATCACTGACCCAGCATCAGTCCACCCGCATGCTAGAGAACTTTGCGTGGGCCTGGTCGCTGGTGAATTCACGTTGTGTCTACTGCAAGCTTGGTCATGGCGTGGATGTCTGCACGATGGGCTTCCCTCTTCTTGGCCACCAAGCCTTTAAGCAGAAGAAGTACTGCCTGTTAAGTTCTAAGAAGGCTTCAGACTTGGCCATTGTGCCCTTCTTTGACTTCTTTAACCATTCCCCCACTGTTTCCGTAAAACTGGATTTGGACGAAAACTGTGTACGATTGTCATCTTCTGGCGGTACTCTACCGGGTGATCAGGTTGGTCAAGTTGTTGTTTTTTTTAGTTGGCTGAAATATGTTAAGAATACAGTTCCGTGCTACTCATGCTAAGCGCAGGAATAGATGCCGTTTATTTGTCCAAACTGTCTTAATTATATGTCAGTTATCAGAGCAGTAGGTAGCAAATATCATGAAATGATCAGGAACTCGGCACCGGTTGCCAACAACTCAGAAACCGACTTCATTGCAGCTCCATGTAAAAGTTCAGAATTTGTAAAGTGGAATTTTTAAGTCAACATTTTTGCTGCTTCTCTGATAAGAAAGCGATGTTGCACATCTTGTCTCATTTGATTTATATGAGTGGGAGAATAGCTTTTCCATTCGGAAAAAGCTGCTGCTGCTGCTGCTTCTTGGATTTGCGTTTATTGCCACTTTGCAGAAAAACGCGCACAAGTACGTAGACTCTGTCTGCCATGGCAATACTATCTCTTTATGGATAAATGGTTATTTTCAGCTGGAAATGTGTTGGTTTTCCTAATGCCAAGACGCATTGCAGTCTGTCATAATAATACCGAGTGATACCAACGTCGATGTCGGCATTAGCCTTCTTTACAGACAACGACCCGTTCTCAGTATTTTGGGTTAGGAGGACTTGGCCCCTGTGGTTATGCACAGTCTTGGTCTTCGGCCAATTTGAAGAGTATACGAACGTGAAGACACAGGAAGGCTACTAACGGAGTTTTGCTGTCGCTTTTCAACTTTACTCCCCGACA